AGAATGAGGACAACGGCAAGGAAGATTTGGTAGCCCCTGACACCTGCCAGTCACGGACACGCCACCCGAGTGGCTGGGGACCCAAGGGAGCCTTCAAGGTCATCGAAAGGGAAGGACCCACCAGACTGGCCACATAGAGCAGCCCCCTGGCATCCCACCCCCCGGCAGAGTGTCGAGCAGGCTCCACAGGGAGCCTCTGCCTGGGTCAGACCCCGGCTGGGCTCCTCTCCAGCCTCGGTTTCCTCGTCTGCAAATGGAAATTACAAGAGCGGCACCTAGTTTGCAGAGCCACCATGAGGATGAATAAGATCATACAGGCGTCCAGAAGTGGGGAGGGTGCCCAGTGGGGTTCGGAGAGATGGGAGAACAGCACCAGGGTCTGCCACACCCCGCCGTAGCCTAGTTCACAGAGGCTGAATTTGCTGCACCTCAGAAGGACATTGGAAACCATGAGAGGGCTCCCCGGCTCTGCTCCAAGAATCCTCACCATGAGCTTCTCCATTAAAATGGCAAAATCCACTGCTTCCTGGAGGAGGAGTCCAGGTGTTGGGAAGCAAAAAAAAAAAACAATGTTTTGGTAGCACAAAGTGTATTCTGTGGCATCACATAAGATTTTATTCAATGAAAAGTAAGTTATTTTCTTCGTAAGAATCGTAGTTGCTCAGGGCCTTTGCACTTGCTACTTGGAACATTCCTCCTCCAGGTGTCTGCCTGGCTTGGTCCCTCACCTCCTTCACGTCCCTCCTCAAACATATCTTCTCACCCAGGCTTTCACTGGCCACCTCTTTAAAGTCTCACCGACACCCCCAGTGGCTGGTGTCCTTGGCAGTCACCCTGCTCACTGTCCGGCTTTCTGTCCGAGCCCCCCAACAGCTGTTACCCTATTGTGTATAGTTTATTTTTTTGTTTTGAATCTGCCTCCACCCCAGGGATATGACCTTCCCTAGGGCAGGAATTTTGCGGCTGTGTTGTTTATCACCATATCCTCAGTGCCAGGAGAAGTACCTGGTTCATACTAGATGCTCAATAAACGGATGAGCCCACTGGACAGCTGGTAATGATGCAGCTTTGTAGCCAAACCCACAAATTCAAAGTTGGATGTCCATCAGCGTGAGAAGACTCTGCCTCCATTTCCTGAGGCGAGACTGCGGACAGCTTTCAACCCTCTCCCTCCCCTTTTGTCCTGTATCTGGGCCAGATGATAATAAAAAGGCAGGTGCTGCACCCTTTGGAGCTGGGGGGAAGTTGGAACCACAACTCTGCCCACCACCCACTACAGCGCCCAAGGCGGCTGCCCTCCCCACTCACTTGAGCATTTAAAACCTGCCTGAGAGTCTTCCGTGTGTCCCCAGAAAACCTTGTCATGTGAGTCGGGGCCCCTCAGACCCTGTGGGTGCATGCACAGTGTCTGTCTTGACCTCTGAGCCAATCACAGACTGAATATCTATCCCCCCTCCCCTGATACCAGGGGTTGAATCCGAGGGTGGGTGACCACTGAGCCACATCCCAGCCCTTTTTTAATATTTCATTTAAACACAGGGTCTCTCTGAGTTGCTTAGGGCCTCACTAAATTGCTGAGGCTGGCTTTGAACTCCCGATCCTCCTGCCCCAGCCTGCTGGAATGACAGGCAGGCACCACCTGCTTGGCTTACTTCAGGTCTCTGAGGAGCAGCTCACAAGGAGAACCCCATCCACCCGGCCTCCCAGCTTCTCTCTGCATTTGCTACTGTTTGCCTTGTTTGGAGAAAGTCCTCCTTTGTGAAATGGAGAGGTTACATCGTGACAGTTCTGTCTTTACCAAGTTCCTTTGCATCCTCCACACTCACTGATTCATGGATTCTGGAGCCTGAAAGCAACACAGAAGCAAGCTCGTGTTTCACACTGAATTCCACAACACAGCAACCGCCGGCCTCCCTGAACCTGAAAGTCAAACAAAGCACCTACAACCGGCAATTAGGAGCTAAATCTGTCTCTAAATACAGGATCCCGTTGCTCTCAGAGGCTGCCCGTTCATTTAACTTACGCACCATTTTATACAAGAGAAAACCGAGACATCATTTTGCTGTGACAAGAACCCAAGCCAATCCTTGCCTGAAACTGGCTGGCGGAGATGGACAGGTGACACGCAGCACAGACGTCCAGAAAATTCTACGTGAGCTGAGAAGCAGGGTCTGAAGTCAGCAAAAGATCAGCAGTGACCTCCCGGTGACACTGGGAAGAAGCTCAAATGCTGCGTTTTATGGAATCTAAGCCACCATCGACTCAAAGTCACGCCATTAAACACACCATGGTACCAGTGAAACTCAGTTGGTGCTCTTCGCGCTTAGAGGCTATATTTTGGAAGCATGTCTTGTCTCGTGCTTTAAAAAAAAAAAAAAAAAGGAGGGGGGTGCTCTTTCATGTGCCTTGACAATTTTCTTATATATGACTCTTGTGATCACATAAAACCAAACCTATAGGTGGAATGCACTGGATGAGGTATTCCTCAAACTTCTTCCCATGCAAAACCCAGCCCTTCTGCACACTCTTGAGCTCAGAGTCAACCAGGGACCTGGCAACAATGTATTCAGAGAATGCTGGGCCTGGGGGCAGAGCTCCCCAGCAGAGCTCTGGCTGAGCTTGTGCAAGGTGCTGGGTTGGATCCCCAGCACTGTGAGAAGAAAAAGGCAGGGGATGTCACAATTGCTGCCGCTATCTTTGCTGTGACCGCAGCAAAGATAGCGGCAACAATTGTAAAAAGGTGATTGGAAGACAGGGGCTCATCCGAGAGAGGTGCGTGGCTGAATCAGAGAGTAAGGTCACTGCAGTCGTAATGACAGAGACACCCGTTCAGGAAGAATTGAGTGTGGAACCTCACAGGATGTTGGGGTGTCATTACCAGCTTAGAAAGCTGTCAGCAAAAGCTCTGTCAGATGTCGGCGGCTTCCTGGCAGCCCCCAAATCCAGGCTCACTTAAGAAATGAAGGCTGTAACCTTGCCACTCCCCTGCTCTCCCGGGCTCCAGCTTCTTAAAGATATTTGTGATTGGCTTCACTCACTTAGCATGATATTCTCAACTCCACCCATGTACTGGCAAATACCGTAATTTCGTTCTTCTTTAAGGCTGAGTAATATTCCATCGTGTATATCTACACCACAGTTTCTTTATCCATTCACCCATTGAAGGGCTTCCAGGTTGGTTCCATGGTTTAGCTATTGTGAGTTGAGCTGCTATAAATATTGATGTGGCTGCGTCCCTGTAGTGTGCTGACGTTAAGTCCCTTGGGTATAGACCAAGGAGAGAGATAGCTGGGTCAAAGGAGTTGGAGACTAGCATGCTAAGCAAAATAAGCCAATCCCAGAAAACCAAAGGCCGGATGTTTTCTCTGAGAAGCAGATGCTAATTCACAGTAAGGGGAGCACTAGGGAAGAGTAGGGTTACCTTAGATTAGGTAGAGGGGAGTGAAGGGAAGGGACATGGGGATAGGAAGGACAGTAGAATGAAACAGGCGTTATGACCCTATGTATATATATGACAGCAGGACTGATGTGACTCTACAGCAGGTACAATCAGAAAACGGAGAAATGATACCCCATCTATGTATGATCTATCAAATCGCATAAATGCATTCTACTACCAAGTATAACTAATTAAAACAAATTTTAAAAGATTAAAAAAAGAAGAAAAGAAAGGTATTGGTGGTTCCCTGACCAGGCCATCTAAAGATCCATCTCTTGGCCATTAGCCCTCCTGATCTGTCCACCGGTGTGACATTTTCTTGGTGGCACTCCTACTTAGCCCAAATGTCACCTTCTCCAGGAAGCCTCCCGTGATTTCCCTGGGTTCCTCTAGCCCTGAGGTAATTCAGGTGGAGAGTGTACCTCTGTGAGTGTTCTTTCTCTGTTATACGGGGAACTCTCTCTGGGGACCAACGCCTTATTCCTTGGTGTAGTCCCAGCCCCCTGCACTGGAACCTGGAATTGGTGTTCAGCCAAGAACAGCCAGAGAAATGAATGAGTGAGGAGTCAGCGCTCAGCTACCACCTGTACACTACGGTTGGGGAAATGCCGGCAGAGCATCCGTGCTGGCTCCCAGCATCTCCCCCGTGGTCATTTACAGGAGCCCCCCACTAAGGAAATGCCCCTAGGAACACCCCAGCTCCTCCTAGCAATAAGCAGGGGTCAGTTCATCAGAGTCCGGCCGTGACGGCCGACTGAGAACTTCCCCATCGAAACTGAGCGCAGAGACAGACTCGGAGGGAGGACAAGGCTACTCTCAAAGCGGGAAAGAAAATATCCCTGTCTCCGGGAGGAAGTTTCCACCCACCCCGTTTCCAATTTGCCTGAATTAGCTGTCCCCCACCCCAGGACTGTCATCACTGACGGCTCAGGTCTGTCTCCCCCCACTGGCCATGAACTCCAGACACCCCGTGTATCTTAAACAGTCAGCTCAGCCTCTAGCACACATCGGTTGTTTATTAGGAAGTTGGAGAACAACAAATGAAACTGAATTTCAGAACCGACATTTATATCTAGGAAATATGGTAGTGACTTTTGGGTTTTGGTTCCCGTCCCCTCCTCCCTCCCCCAGTGCTAGGAATCAAATCCAGGGCCTCAGGCACACTAGGCAAGCGCTCTGTCACTCAGATCAGATACATCCCCTTAGCTACAGGAGTCTCACTGAGTTGCCGAGGCTGGCCTCCAACTTGCGATCCTCCTGCCTCAGCCTCCTGAGTAGCTGGGATGGTAGGTGTGCCCTCTGCCGGTGGCCATCAAGGAAAAGCCCCTCTTCACCCTCTCCCATGCACCATGGTGTCTAGTCCTGTGGCCTGCAGATGGTCACACTGATTTCGTGGCACCTAGCAGGGTGCCTGGCACACAGCAGCCACTCCATATGTGAACTGCAGATATTCAACTTCTCCCCTCCTCTCCATCTCTCTCTCTCTCCCCCCTCTCTCCGTCTGTCTGTCTGCGTCTGTTTCCCTCTTTCTCCCCCGTCTCTCCCTCCCGTGTCTCCGCAGCTCCCTGATCCAGGCGGTGAAGATGGGCCGCGGCTACTTCACCATCCTGAGGGAGGAGAGCAGCTTGAAGAAGGAGCAGCTGCAACTCCAGAAGCTGGAGGAGGAAGAGAGAGATAAATTCCAGCCGGCCAAGAAGGTCTCCGAGATCCAGTTAGGGGACTCGTTGTTGGTGTAAGTGGACGCGGAGCTGCGGGGCTGATGGGGGTCCTCCCCCGGCCCCCGGGTGGGCGCCATCCGGCCTTCTGGTCTACCCAGGAATATCTCCTCCCCCAAACGCCTGGTGAGACTTGGAAGTGTCCATCATTTCCCCAGGCCATCGGTTAGAAAGCAGCCTGATGCCCACACTCGGTGGCACCCACATCCACGGGCTGCACCAACCATCCTGGACAAAATTCTGAGACACTGAGCTTGTGTGGACCCAAGGAGATCTACAGCAGGGACAGGGCAGAGGCGCCAGAGTGGGCAGAGAGGAAACACGCCCTAGAGATGGCCTGTGGCTGCGTCCAGTACCCCGTGGCCACAGCCGTCCCAAGCCTGGCTACCTATAGGCTACCCCGAGGGGTCTGCAAGACACCAGTGCCCAGGGTTGGTCACACGGCCTGCCTCTCTTGTTTTTAAAATAAAGTTAAAAAGGTCTATTGTAAAGTTCTCCTACTTGTTAAAGTTCCCTTGGGAAATGCCAATGGGGAGCCATGGTTAAGCCCCATGGTGCCAGGGGCCGCCTTCAGGAATCCAAAAGGCCAGGGCATTGGCTCAAGAGGACACAGGAGCAGACACCCCCCTTTGCAAAAAATCTGTTTTCCAGACGGTTAAAGAGATAGGAAAGTGCACTTCCTAAAAACTTTTCAGCAGACTCCTATGTGAGCTCTGTCTGGCTTCTTTTGCTTAAGACAGTGGGTCTGAGGTTCGGGGTGGTTGGGGGCGGCAGGCAGAGAGGCTCAGAGACTGCTTACTAGATACGGGGTCTCCTTTGGTGGCCATGGAAAAGGTTGGGGACTAAGAGACAGTGGTTCCTCGACGTCGTGAACGCGTGTGATACATGCGACAGAAACCAAGCGTGGCTCCAAGCTCTCTTCTCCAGTTTGGCTCCAAACATCTCTACTTCACGGTCAGCCGTCTGCCACTTTTAAGGTTTTGTTTGTTTTTTTTTTCTATTTTGTCCAGCGATTTTGTTTTTTTGTTTTGTTTTTGTCTAAATAGGCTGACGTGTGCGCCTTCATTTATGGACTCATGTATTTTTTTCTAAGACAGAAAAACGATGTCTGGCTGACAATCCCGCATCTGTGCCACTTAAGGAGTGGCCACCCCAGGAAGGAACCTCTGTCCCTGGAGCAGGGGGACATCTGGATGAATCTGATACATTCAATTCACAGGAAGAGCAAATCGATTCACCTGGGAGGGAGACCTCCAGGAGACGGGCCAGGGGTGTAGCCCACCGAGACAAGAAAGAAGAGGGAGGAGACAGGCATATCTCAGATGTGCAGGAGGGTTTGCCTCAAGGTGTGAAATGCGAACCCATTTCCGTGTCCCACGGATCTTTAGTAATACGGTTCTCTGGGTGCACCAAATTGTGGATCAGGTTCAAAGTCCGTTCGGAGCAGGCAAGAGAGGCTGTCTGGATGCAGATCTACCCTCTTTGCACAACGAACCACTGCGTGTTGCAGGACCACTGTGCGCACAAGCCCTCTGGGGGCACACGGAGGTACCCAGAGCATGAAGAGCGCCCCTACTCCACCCTCAACCACGAAGTGCCTTAAGTACACCCAGCCCCTCAAGGAGAGGACGTAAAAAGGAAATCTAGAGGGGAAAAAATGGCCAGGAAGCCCTTCCATACTGGACAGAAGCTTGCTGAGTGACACAAAGCACGATTAGAAGCTCCATCAACGTCCCCACAGGCCCACCAGACGGCCCTGGAGCCAGCACATCTGCTTGGGAGGGTCCCAGGTTGGAGAAGGCGAGTGCCACTCTGTTCCTTTTTCAAAAAATATCTGGTTTTAATTTTTTGATTGACACCTAATAATCATACACGCACGTGGGGCACGGGGTGACGTCTCCATGCACAAGGAGCACCCCTTGCAAGGGTCCGGGCGACCGGCCAACGCATCCCTTCACATATGGATCGTTTCTTTGTGTCAGGAAACATTCAAAACCCACTTGAGCTCGGCTCAGATGGACAAGTAACTGCTCTCAACCGCAGTTACCCCACCACGGGAAAGAATTAGAGATGAGTCCTGTCTAACCGCACCCTGCACACCCAACGGTGTCTTGTGCCAGGCGTTAGAAAGGCGACATGCACAGTCTGAACCACTCCAGTGTCCTCGTCAGACTCTGAAGGGGTGTGGGGTGCAGAGAAGGCCACTCTAGCCTGAGCCTCAGGGCTCTCTACAGTCTGTGACTCCTGGTGGCAGAGCCAGCTGGCCGGCTCTCCCTGGAAGGATCTAGAAGGAATCAACTCGTGGCTCTTTATTCCAGGAGTGGAGCTCAGAAGAACAGGCCAGGCAGCTCCAGGCAGGGGCAGGAGCCTGTCTGCTAAAGAGGCCCCCCGCCTGTTTAAGTGGTTGCTCGTCTGGACGGAGTGTTTAATCCGCGGTCACAGAACACAGTTCTCCCTTCTCCCGTCCGTGTTTCAGCGAGCGAGACACGGTGTATTTAAAGTTTAATAAGTTTAAATATGCATGAGATGGCTTGTCTCGTAGACATGGGTCTGGTTATATCTTATTTTATTAAAATAAAATTGCAAGCCATTAAGGCACAGTAGCCATCAAATGCCAGAGTGGGGACCTGTTATAAAATGGGATTAGAAGATGGCAGGCACCAAGACAGGGTGAGGAGCACAAACCTTGGAGCCAGTCGGGACTTGAATTCGAGTCCTTACTTCTGCCGTACAACTGTTCAACTTCAGTCAAACACCTGTCCCTCTCTGAGCCTCCTTTTTTCCTTTGCAAATATGAATGGTACCAAATCTCCAAGCCTGTTAGGAGGGTTAAATGAAGTGGTACTTAGCACAGGGCCCAGCTTCCAAGACACCCTTGCTGTAATTATCACCTATTAATTAGGCAATAAAGTGACTTTGATCTCCCTGGGCCTCAATTACCTCAAATCCTCCCACCTGTGCCTCAAAACCTTAAATTCCAGGAAGGCTATAGGATGTACCCCACATTTAAAAAGCTGTGTTTCTATAAATAGGATTCCAAGCACAACAGTATCCAAAAAACACAAGCATTCATTTGGGAAGACTTTTTCTTTTTTTTAAACCAAGCATTTGATCTCGCACCTCATGAAAGCAAAAGGGATTATTTCTGCTGTCCCCTCAGGATGTAAGACCAGAGAATAAGTTCTTTTTCAGACAAAAGTTTTTAAGTCTGACAAAGTACGCAGGGAATAAAGAAAATCAAGCCGGTTCCGGAAGGTTCTTGTCTTCCAGCAGTATTTCCCAACGCGTTCAATGACCTCATTTTTTTTCAGCCTCAGATTCTGCTGAAATGGTGGTGGTGGGGGTGGGGGGGAAGATGAGTGGAATTTGTTCTGTGATTGTCGTTTACAAAGACCAAAACCAGAGATTAGGGAGTACAAACACGGGGTTAATTTCTACATATTCTAATCCACCGGGAGACCAGGATGAGCCGGGAAGATGGGGAAAGTTAACGTGTTTGCTTGTAGGTTTTCTTTCTTCGGCTTCAGGATTGAATAATCAATAGAAGAGGAAATAGGGGGAAACCCGCATTTTGGTCCTTTTCGTTAGCTCTGTGACCCAGGATTAATCTCGAATTCCAGGAGGACAGTCAGCTCCTCACTTGGGTGCCAGTCTCACCTCCCCTAGCCCCTTCTGTCACCGTAACACCTGCAATGGCTAATGTTTCTCAACAGAAAAAGACTCTCCACGGCCTCCTGCTTTCCTACTCACCATATGCCCTCTACCACAGGATCTTTGCACATGCTGTTCCCTCCACATAGAAGGCCTTTCCCTCCTCCATCTCCCTAGTTGATTCCCATTCAACCTTCAGATTGAAGCTCAGTCTTTACTCTTATTCCCGTCACGGTTGCCATGAACAGTCGTTCCAAAACGGATTCACTCAAGACAACAAACTCTTCTTTCACAAATCTGCAGTTGGAGGGGCAGGACCGTCTCCATTCCAAACAGCAAGGCAGGAGGAGCTGGGGAAGCTCAAAGGATCCATTTCCCAAACTGCTCACTCTCCTGGGTGGCTGGGAGCTGGGAGCCGAGAGCCGAGTCCCTCTCCCCCTGGGCCTCTTCGCAGGCTGCCAGCTTCCTCCCAGTATGGTGGCTGGACTCTAGGCGCGAGCCTCCCAGGACCTGCAGAGGAGAGCCGGCCAGCGCCTGGGGCCTGGCATGACGTCACTTCTGACACGTGCTATGGGGTCAGCCAGTCTAAGGATCCCGATCCAAGGGGGAAGTGGATGTCCTCCCATCTGTCACTTGCAAGAGTATCGAGGAATGGGGGAACGTGTCCTGAAATCATCAGCCTCAAGGAAGAATTCCCAGCTTCCTCCTCAGTCAAATTCCCTATTTTCAGCTGTCAAAGCACATGGATCCCAAGGGCGGGTTTGGCGGTGCCTGTGTACCCTGCCGGGGTCGGTCTCCTTCACTGCTACATCCGCTGTCCCCAGCACAAAGAAGATGGTCACTAACCTTTGGGTAGAAGTGAGCGGATCCAGGAACCGTCAACTGTTTCATAGAAGAGGTCCTTAGACGGCGGCTCAGAAGCCCCAGGGCCTTCCAGGACAGGGTGGTGTTCATCCTGGTGATTCTCTTTGCTCCACAAGGGTGGGGAGTTTTCGGCACTGTGTCCCCAAACTTCTCCTATGACCCTGACCCCATTCCTGGGGCTGGTATTGTTGCCTGGTGCGTAATAGTTCCTGGTCACATAAGAGAAGGAGGTGTCCAAAGCTGCTGCTCACGGTTCTCTTTCTGCTTTTCCTCCAGCATCTACGAGGATGAGAAGAAGTCGGGGACCAACATCATCTTCCGCCCGTTCACCCCCACGCGCAGCTGCCTCTTCCTGCCCTCGCTGCCCGAGGCTCACGTGTAAGCAGCCTCACCCGGCTCCCTGGCCTCGCCATCGGAAATGACCCGGGGCACTGGCGTGGGGGGAACCCTTGAGCTACGCATTCCCTTGTCCTCTTGATAAGGGACACGGAGCTTGCCACTGGCAAACCTATCTGGCGTGAAAAATACCAGAAAGCAAGCCAGGCGAGGTGGCCCACGCCTGTCATCCCAGCCGCCCTCGGGAGGCTGAGGCAGGAGGATGGCAAGTTCAGAGCCAGCCTCAGCAAAAAGCGAGGCCCTAAGCAACTCAGGGAGACCCTGTCTCTAAATAAAATTCAAAATAGGGCTGGGGACGGGGCTCAGTGGTCGAGTGCCCCTGAGGCTGGCCAGCCCTGCCAAAGGGTACTCTTGCTTTCTAACACCAGGACCTCCCCGTCCCCTGTGTGTCCCCCAGAGAGTCACCAGTCCAAACTGTCCTTTTGCACTGGCTGCTCGTTTCAACAGGCAGCGCTTTGGCACGGAGGTAGCAGCCTCTGGCTTGAGGGAAGGGTCCCTCCACCTTGGCACTGTCCATGCCTGGCGACCCAGAATTCTTGGTTATGAAAGTCTGGCAGGTCACTGTAGGATGGCTAGTCGCCTCCGTGGCCTCTACCCACTAGATGCCGGGAGTTCTACTTCCCCAGCCTGTGACGACCAGAAACACGGAAGCTAGCGAGTTGGTTTAAGAACTTTAGTTCGACAGATTTATGTATTAGACCTCCATGACACTTCCAGCATTATTGGCCACTACTGACCACTCTCTAGCTGTCTTATTATCCCCACTCTGAAGAGGAGAAAGCAAAAGCTCAGAGAGGTCTATTCACCTGCCCAGGCTCACACAGCTCAGGGTCTCCCTGTACTGGGCCCACACCATGGTCACCCTGGTCACCACCATCAGCATACATTGGCCACATCCTCGTCCCTCCCTAACAGTTGGGCCTGTGATGAGCCCCACCCCTCCCCAATTTCCTCCTACGTCCCCCGGATTGATTTTACCTTTGGTTTCATTTTCTGTTCTTCTTGGGTGCTAGGGATTGGACCCCGGGTGCTTTACCACTGAGCCACATCCCCAGCCCTTTTCAGCTTTGATTTTGACACAGGGTCTTGCTGAATCCCTTAGGGCCTCCATAAGTTGCTGAGGCTAGTCTCAAACTTGCAATCCTCCTGCCTCAGCCTCCCGAGTCACTGGGATTACCGGCCTGCGCCACCAGACCCTGCCTGACCGGCTTCTCTATAGCCCCAGTCATTCAGGGTCCTCCAACTGGCAGCCGAAGCCTGATGCTCTTAAAACATCTCCTTCCAGCAAGAGGCCTTGTAACCTCTCCTAATGTCCCTTGGAAACACTTGGGCTGTCCCTGCGTCTCTCATGGGCAAGCCCTCTGAAGACAGTGAGATGTCCCTTGCGTCTGGGGATATTGAGGGATATCTGGGAAAGTACCTAATCCCCCCCCAGCACCCCCACACACTCTATTCATTTGGTCTGACCACACGGAAGCTTAAATCAGCTATGAAATGACTAGAGGTAGCTTCTTGCCCTTCTTTCTTCAATGCCAGTTGGGGAAAGTGAAACAGAGAGGGCCCAGAACTTGCCAAAGGTTGCACAGCAGGAATCTTGATCCTGTAGCTCCTAAGTCAGCTCTTTACACCGGGTGAATCAGAGATGTTATTATGAACGGCACGAACGGCATCCCAGTGGAAGTCGTTACTGTTATGCTCTTCAAGGGCCAGACAGTAAATAACCTTATGCTTTGTAGACCAGAGGGGGCTGTGGGTTCTAGGATCCTTCCTTTTCTTCTCTAAAATAACGAGGCTGCCCCTCCCCCACGGCCTTCTGTGGTCAACTGTTCAGCAAAAGCCAAGACCAGAACTCACACCCCAGTGTGCCCTCGGCCACCAGCACGGGATGCTTGGGAGGGCTTTGGACTCACAAGCCACCAACGTCAGCACTGTGGTGAAGAGCACAGAGTTGGGAGCCGGAGGCCCAGACTCCAGTTCCAACTCTGCCAGGTGCTGGCTTTTGTGACCTTGGACAAGTTGCCCGAGTCTCTGGGCCTCTGTTTCCCCATCTGCAAAATGGGGATGACCATGAGGCCTCCCCCGCGGGGATTCATGAGGGTGAAACTGGTCTCTGTGAGTCGAGCACAGAAAACAGGGTCGGGCACAAAGTAGTGCTCTTGGCCAAGTGTTCTCCGCTGCTCTGATTGGGCTCTTGTGACGATGCCATATCTCAGTGGTTCTTGGCGACCCCAAGTTATCAGCTTCAGGAAAACGTCAGATGTGAACCGATCCATCCCCACCATCCTCCGTTCAGTAACCAGAAATACACTGAGCCCCACTCTGCCCAGCACCGGGAACCCCGGGCTGGGCAGGACTCTGTGGTCTGCAGGTCCGTGGACTGGAGGGTCAAAAGCACAAGTAGTTCTACTAGAGCGAGGACCCAAAGGGTAGGGACAGAGGGACCCATTGAAGACATGGGGATGCTTTAGAAAGTCCTTGGAGAGAGCCTAACCCAGGCCCGGAGCAATCAAGGAGGGCTTCCTGGTGGAGGTGCTGTAGGAACTGAAGCCCCGTCCGTCACTGAAAGGCAGAGAAGGTAAACCTGCACCAGGAGCAGAGAATAGGGCTCCGTGTCACCTTCTCCCTTGAGGTTCCTCCTCCTCCAAGGACGCCGGCCAGACCCACTTTGTTTTAACTGAGTGGCCTCTTCAAAGGCCCCGCCTCCAAGTACCATCCCAGCCGGGGGTACTGGGGCGAGGGCTTCCACGTACAAAGATGGGGGGCCACGGTGGAGCCCTGACGGGCGGTTTAGGGGGCTCTAAGGAGTTCAGCAAGGGAAGGTGGGGATCAGGTCTGCACCCGCGCCTGTCCCCTGCAGAAGGGACTCAGCTCACGGGCCCACATCCCCATCAGCCCCGTGACCAAGCAGACCCGTGTCCACAGTGAGCCCCCCGCCCACCCACTGCCCACCACCGTGTTCTTCTTGGAGCTTTGGTCCTGGAGGGATGCAATCTCAGGAAAGGGCAATAATACAGCTGGGTCCTGGAGGCCTCTGCTCTATGGGCGGGAGGGGAAGTCAGAGGTGGAAGGTGGGGACAGCTCACCAGGACTCCAGGAAAGACACAGGCAGCGTGTTAACCCTTCCCGACCGCCACCTCGGCTTCCCCGGAGGAGAGCGAGGCCTCCGTGAGAGGGCTCAGGCCCGGGGGAGCACAGTATCCCGGAGTGATCAGTCCAATCCTCTCTACTCCCAGCTGTGTGACCTCAGGTAACTCACTTCACCTCTCTGAGCCTCAGTTTCCCCTTCTCCAAAACAGTAATGGATCATAACTCATACCTCCGCAGATCTGGGGAGAAAGAAAGGATGTGGGGAAAAGTAGCTGGCTCATTGTAGATGTTTGATATGACATGTCCCCCCGCCCCAATCAGAAAAGGGCCGATTTTTAAATAGTGCTTTAGTGACGTTTTCAAATATCACGCCCAGTGTGCTTTTCTTCAATATAAAGCTGCCTCTTCAGACAAAGGACGTCCACACTTAAGGACATCCCTGGGTGCCCCTGTGGATTAAGAAGAAAAAAGTAGTAACTACACTAGTTCCTTGTTTTCCAGGCTACCTGTCACCCAACTCACTTATTGTCCTTTGTTAAACAACCAGGTGCCTGGTAATTAATTCCCTCAGGTCCCTCCTTTGCCAGAGTCGAGTCTCCAACTGCGGACCCCCCCCCTGCTCTCCCCGCACCACACACTAACCCCCACTGCTGGCCCAGGATCACCTGGCTTCCAATCATGGCTCTGCTCTCTACTGGCCCAGTGACAGGCACATCTTCCTAACCTCTCTTGAGTCACAGATTCCCAGAATGGGGCCGATGACAGGATGTGTGCCCAATCCACATGCCCCATGCCTGTAATCCCAGCGATTCGGGAGGCTGAGGCAGGAGGCTGGCAAGTTGGAGACCAGCCTCAGCATCTGAGCAAGGCCCTAAGCAACTTAGAGAGACCTTGTCTCCAAATAGAAAATAAAATGGGCTGGGGAGGTGGCCTGGTGGTAAAGCACCCCTCTGGGTTCAATCACCAGTACCAAAAAAAAAAACCATGCTTTTCCCCATGAAGATTGTCATAACAGGATCCCCCTGTGTCCCCTCCCCGTGTCTTGGCAGAGAGCCCCTGTTCCGCCAGCTCTGCGCCCTGCACTGGCTTTTGGAGTCCCTGACCATCGACCACACCCACCACACCATGAAGTCGGTGACCACCTGCTGGAATTTCAAGTAGGCATCCGCGCCTCCACCCTGCCCTGCGCTTGCTCCAGCCTGGGCAGCGGGAAGGGCTGCCCTCCGCTCCTCCCTCCCATGCGTCCTTCCCGGTGACCGGGGGACCAGGTTGCTTTAGGGGCTCCCTGTGTTCTGAGGGATCCAACAGGGCGGGGCAGAGGCAGCTCACACAGACCCCATCGGGTGCATCCCCTTGCAGCCTAGCGACATCACAGGGGTGGCTTGAAATCAGCCGGTCACAGTGGGAGGATTGACACCACAGAAACTGGCAGATCCTCAGCCGGACTGCTCTCCAGCCCTCCCGGGGCACGGTGTCTCCTCCTGACCATTTTTAGTTTTTCTCTCTTTCTTCTTCTCCCTCCTGCTCTGGGTCCCTGTTCTTCTTCCCTGGTCTCCCTGTTCTTGATCTGCCCCTTCATCTCTAGGAGTTGCTTGGTCTGGCTGCGATGCTGTCTTTTCCATGTGTTCTGGGCGCTCTTTCACCACTTGGACCCAAGCCTGTTTGGACTTGAGATGCAGCTCCCTGGGGCAGCTGGGGTTTGCCCAGGCAGAAGCTTCCAGAACACTTTGTCCAGGCCAGGAAAAGGGTCAGGAGCATCACCTCCAGGGGACAGGGTTCATGCCCAAGCTTTGAGGCCACGGTAGAAAAGAATCACACGGGGCATGCAAGGTGGAACAAGAAATAGGAACGAACGAGGCTTATTCTTTAAGAAATCAAATCGTCTGTAAAAAAAAAAAAAAAATGGGACACAAAATAATAATAAGGAACCCAGTCTTGAGGAACAGGATTTGCACTGTGAAAACCACAGGCTGAGAGTCTAATAAACCCCATCCCCAGCTCGAAGGGTCCTCTCCTCCACCTTCATGGGCCCAGGCACCTCTAGTAAAGCCCTGTCTCCCGAACAAGTTCAGTTTTCTTCTCTTCCAAATATTGAGTCCTCATTAACTCCTTCTCCAAAGGACATTGACCATCCGTCCCTCCTAGTCCCCCAGTTCACCTCTTGCACCAGGACCCGGATCAACTAGCCTCAAATGCAATCACAAATATAAATTCTGCATCTATGGACATATGAGTAACTATTGTAATCTCTCTTTTTTTATATATATAGGGCCTTACAAACTATTTTTTAAGTAGTAATAGTTTACTTTTTTCTTTTTAACGTCAAGATCCCTGTAATGTAAACCAGATTGTTCTGAATGGAGCCTCTTCAGAAAGGAAGAGATTTAAGAGCTGAGAGACCCGGGGCCCCACTCCCACCCTGGCCCCTCAGTTATTTACAAAATATCTTTATGATTCCCAGAATTTGCTTGAAACCCACAAGCCTTCAACATTCATCATGCATTATTCATTTTTCTTTAAAACCAAACTATCCAAGTTATGAGTGAATGCAATTTAGTAGAAATTTTTCCAAAAAAAATTTATAAGCATATGAAGTATAAAAGCTTTTATTCCCTCCTTAGAGAAAAACTCCTTTTAAAGGTTTAAGGTGTACCATTCCAAATCTCTTTAATACCTTCTTCACCTTATAAACATACACACATACTTTTTTTTTTTTTTTTTTTTTTGTACAGGGGACTGAACCCAGGGACACTCTACCACTGAGCTCCATCCCCAGACCTTTTTACTTTGTATTTTGAGACAGGGTCTCACCATGTGGCTGAGGCTGGCCTCAACTCGCAAACCTCCTCCTGCCTCAGCCTCCCTAGCCACTGGGATTATTGCAGGCTTGCACCCCCGTGCCTGGCTCACAGATATTTTTGATGGAAAATGGTTTAAAATATTGTTCTTTACCTCATTTCCGCCCTCGCCTTTTATAGGGACTCATGATGGCACCGACCCATCTTGCGCCTTCTGTTCATATTGAAAGGCACACACACTGGGGCATTCTGTTGTGTGGATGGAACACCATTCAGATAAGCATATCTTGACTGACCGACACGGAGGCTATTCTCAAGTTTTTGACATTCCAAGTGGCACTTCATGGAACATTCTTACACATGTCTTTCGTGCCCAGTTGTGAATATTTCTTTTGATTGGATTCTGAGAAATGGGAATCGCTAGGTCAAAGCAACATGTACATTTTTTCCCCCATCGTTGATTGCTTAGATTCTAGGAAAAAAAGCCCCTGAGCCCGGGACTACTCATTGCATGTCACCTCCCCAACCCAGCCACCAACAGCAACCTTGCCTCCAACATGTACACACCCGCCCTCCCTCACAGAGGGAAGAGCATCCTGTAGGATGTGGACGGAGGAGAGAGAAAGGGCCATCTTTATTTTCTTTAATTGCTTTTTTTTAAAAAAAATGTGCTCAGAACGTAACCAAAAAAAATTATTGATGGCAGTAAAAAGACATATTGGTCTCATTGAGTATTGAATGTTCTACAGTGATTGATAAGGGCAGGGGTCTAAGGCTGCCCAGCTCTCTAAAAGCAGAATCAGAATAATTCAGACAGACCCAAGAGAATACTGCAGTTCAAGAGGTTGCCTCTGGCAGGGAGAGTGTCTTGGTGGGGGTCTTGTTTTTCTCTAGTGGACCATTTCCTCCTGGCAGGGACTTTTGACATGGGGCCCGGGATATGATGGTAAATGTTTAACAGGCAGTGTTTCAGGGGCTGGAGAGACGTGGTTTGTAGGAAGGCCAATGTCCCTGGTGTAAATACCCCGCTGAGGCTGATTTCAAGATGGCCAGCATGATGTCACTGGGCTTGGAGTGGGGAAGAGTTGCACCTGGGGTTTTTGGCCATCCAGAGGAGCCAATTCCAGGACCCCAGGGTCTGTTTAAATGACAGCTATGGGGGAACAAGGATTCCTGGTTATGCATGCCTTTGGGACTTCAGGCTAGAAAAGAAACTTCTGAGCAGAATGTTAGCAGCAGATGAGATCCGTGGTCACTGGGTCACTGGGCAAGCACACAAGGCCCACCAAAGAATCTAACTCCAAAGAGAAACACCTCAGGGTTACCCCAAGAAGAAACCCCAGGTCCCCAGTTCTGGTGAATGCTCGTCGGAATTTCCATCATCCGAGAGCCAGCCAGACCCTGCCCCTGCCAGCCCCCGGGGATTTTCTGAAGGGAAATATCCATCCCTGGTGACCCGTGGCTCTGCATACCAAGTCCCTCTCTTTATGGATTTTATAGCAGGAATGTGGGGGTGCTTCAACACCTCCACGTGGGTTGGGCACACACAGCGAGATTTGACCAAGGGGCAGCTAGAATGCTTCGAGAGGTACCATCAGCATTCACAGCACCAGGATCTCATGTCTGGATGGATCGATGGCTGGTCAAGTGAACGGGCAGACAACAAATTTTAGGATTAGCTGCACCTGAGTCTCTGTTTTACTTGGGGGGGGGGACTTCTCAATTCCCAATTTCCTCCTACAGCAATTCAAACATAGCACCGCATCCCAGCACCCTGATTAATCCTACTGCTCTTAAGAGAGTTTATTTCTATTGGTCAGACGATAGGGTTCAGACCAAGAAGAGAAACTAGCCTTCGATCCTGTGACAATTATCCTTCTGCAAGAGGTACAGACCTCTTTTTAGACAAAGTCACACCTGGTTTTTCTGTGTGAAGGTCCATAAGTCTTTCCGTCCTTGGGGCCAACTGTGTTTCAGAATTCTGACTTTTTTTTTTTCTAGTTTAAAAAGGAAGTATGAGGTTTCTACCATATAGAACGTCACACTCCCAGGGAGGCTCAAGGCGGCACAGATGTGAGTCTGCAGGAAACGAAAAGTGAATATTCATCCTAAGTTCCTAAATAAAGGGCAACTCCTTTCAGCTCTCATTTTGCTGCCAAATAAGTTATTAAAATCTTGTTATTCAATCCCTTGCCGGAGGGGGGGGTGGTTTGAAATAGAGGTTTCAGACCTGAATTGACGGTATTCTTATTAGAGAATTTCTTGGCTGGGCTCAGTAGTACACACCTGTCATCCCAGGGGCTCTGAGGCTGGAGGATCGTGAGTTCAAAGCCAGCCTCAGCAACTCAGCAAGGCTCTAAGCGACTCAGGGAGACCCTGTCTCCAAGTAAAACATGAAAAGGGCTGGGGATGAGGCTCTGTGGTTAAGCACCCCTGGGTTCAATCCCTAGTACCCCCCCCCAAAAAAAGACTATCTTTCCAAGGACTAAGCCTGAGCAGAACTTTCTGGAGAAGCAGATGAGCAAACACGGCAGTGCCCCCTCCCCATCTTTCCTGCCGTCTTCCCTAGTCGCCTTGGGGAAAAGCCGGGGAGACCTAGCAAAAGAAGGGAGAGAATCAGGAATCACCAGTTTACCCTCCAGGTGGGGGACGGCACACAGAGCTGTCCCCTGGAGCCAAGGAAGCAGCTCAGACGTCTAGGTCTCATTGCCTCCGACTGTCCCAGACAGATCCCTCTGCCCTCTGCACCCACTCTTCACTGGGGGTTTGGGGGGCCGGTGAGTGGAATCCTGGTTACCGTAGCTTCTTCTGGATTTTTAAATATGACGATGTGTGTGTTTATTGCCCTGCCGTCTCCAAAACATTTCCA